GTTAAGTCTGCTGAAAGTGCAGATGGGCGGTTATCATTTGGAGCTCTATAAGCAGTCATAATTATAATGATATGACGATGTGCTCATTTTGTAATATTCCTCGATTCAAATCATTCTAGAAATTCGGAAACTTCTATATTGAGAACAAAGCCTGAATTCCAAAATATAGCATTCCTTCGAAGAGTATCATATGTTCTCTCTCTCTCTCTCGCTTTCTCTTCTCTTTCTCTTTCTTTCTCTGTCTCTCTCTCCGTCTATCACACTCTCTCTTTCTCTTACTATTTATCTCAATATCTCTATCTATCTCTCTCTCGCGCGCTTACTCTATCCTTCTCGCTCTTGCTCTCACTCTCATTTTCTGTTATCCGTTTTCCCAATATCATATTCTATGATCATTATTATGACGTCGAGACCCGATGAGTCCTGACTGAGACAAATTGATGTAAACGTGAGGAACTCTGTTAGTTATTGTCACCTTGCGTCCGAAAAGAGAGTGGGGTAGGGAGAGAATTAAAATAGATATAAAAGGAGAGGAGGAATAAAGAACGTGTCTGAGAGAGATGACCCAAACACTTTTTAAACAACAATATTATAACTGTATTACTGGTTCGGTGGCAGCACCAATAAAGCCTTTGGCTTTCCTAGCTGTCTCCAGATTCATATGACATTTTTTTTTGATGTTGTATTCTATTGTACATGTTTCTCTTTAACTTGTACGCTATGTTTTGTATTGTATATGTTGTTTTGATGTTTTTATGATGAATGGAAAAAATAAAGATCAATTTTAAAATGACACGACCCCTCCTTCTGCTCCTCCCCATGACATTGGCCATTCTCGGCATTTAGATCGACTTACTGAATTATATGAAATTTAGATACGAGTGTGTGTGTGTGTGCCTGTGTGCGTCTGTGCCCTCGTGCAAACGGGGACGATACTATGAATACACACCTTCAAACTGGGGACGCTCGATGATCGGGGACCGTCCCCGGTTCTGATATTAGCATGAGCATGTCATTTTTAGGCCACTGGAGGGCCACTCTACTTTATTTGATGTTTGGGAGGTAGTCCCCTATTTCATGGATTTATGCGCGCAACAACACACGACGGGACACACTGGACGATCTCTGTGTGAAAGGTAGTGATCCTCGTAAGCGATTATATTAAACGACGCCATCTCTTGGCGAAATATATGCACGCGCGTGTTGCAGCTTCCGGTATTCTCACTGATCTCTGTATGAAAAGAATTTCATTCTAGCAGCTAGGCCTATACTGTGCATATAGTGTCATTGGTTTAATGGTGTTGTCTCCAGAGAAGGTTTAACTAAATGCTACATATTTACTGCATTGTATTTGCACTTATTGACATCATTTGTATTTATCAATATTCTGTTTACAAGAGACCGTTTTACATGACACAAATGGTAGGGCTAATAAATCGGTCTATAAAGCATACAGGCGGAGCATATATGTTTTCTTTTAATTTTCTGACACTTAAATCATACACTGTAAAGCACTTTTTGTTATTATTATCAAATAAGTTAAATATACCTCCCTCCTAGGTGCCATTCATTTTTGATGAGTGTCTGTTTGATTATGATAAAAAAGGCTTACCCCTTTTTCAGTTTACCTTTCCTTTTCAAAATTAATTGAGCACTTCTGATTACCTATATAATTTTGTTTCATAATTCGCTCCCACTAACTTTAGGCCTAATCAGAGTAAATATGGTTTTGCAAAAACCCAAATTGGGGACGGGGGGGGGGGGGGGGGGGAGGACGTAAATTTTAGTTCCAACGGGGGTCACGTACCGTGCCGCGCTAAAGCCGCTAAACCTGTACCCATTTTAAGGATGTCAAAATGGGCGAAAATTTCCAGTTGAACAGTAAAATTACGAAATCATACCCCATTGTTAGTAATTTTTGTGCCCAAAACCATAGCCTGCCTCATGTTCAGAATTTTTTATTTAAAAAAGTCACCCATTATAGTGTCGACTAAGTTTAGAATATGTACGCCTGCATGATGTTAGTTCAGACTGAGACTAGAGTCATAATATCTGGCATGTCTGAAAATATAGGCTGGGGAGGGAGGCCTACCGAGTCCACAATTTTTTATAATTTGACTGCGGGATCGAAGGGGCGCCAAAATTTTGGGCTCCCACCCCGGTGGATGAATCACCTCTCGATGAACTCTGTGATGTTCCCGCCTGCGCCTCACGCTTACGATTCGTGCAGGGAGCGCGGTGGGTATAACCGCGGAGCGCCAAGGTACTAGCTAGGTGACATGATGTGTAGCCGGTCATCATAAGCTAGGGTGAGTGATCTGATGTCTCCGCGTGATTATGGTATGATTTGAGCTTTTTCTGTGTCGTGTTTCCGTCTGTTATATTTAGATTGATATCTAGACTTGTAGTAGGCCTAGTACGGGAATGGGAAAGATTAGAATCTACACTCTAACTTCGATCTAGACCCTAGAGTCTACGGTAGATATGAATAGGCCTAGAAAATTTAACACAACTTCGCCTACGGCCGTGCCCCATATCCATGAGCATGGCCACCATCGCCGATCGGCTAGCAGTGCACAGCCACACAGTGGGCCAGATCGATGCCGTCAAAATTGAGCCAGGGGTGGTATTCTGAAAATTGTCGTAACTTTTCTATTATTGTAAAACAGCTGAGGAACTAACACTTCAACCAAAGAGATATATCCTCCTTGCGCTTAAACAAGCTCTGCTTCAAGATAGTTCCTCTTTTCTCATGCTTTTTTCCCCATTAGATCTAGAATCTAGGTCTAGAGTCTAGATCTAGATTTGTCGTTTCGTTGCATATTTGTTGTGATAGAGTCTATAGACTCTAGAGTCTAGAGGATATAGATCTAGATTTAGGCCTAATTATTCTTATAGGGCCTATAGACCTAGACCTACTTGTGTAGGTCTAGATAGGCACAATATGTTTGCATCAGAAATCCAAAACAAATTAGAATAGACTCTAGATCTAGATCTAGGAGTCTAGATCTAGTCTAGGTAAGACAATTTTCAGAATACTGATTTTATCTTAACACCAAAGATTAGAGATTTATTTTCAGAATCAACCCCTAGTGAGAGCCAAAGACAAAGTGCGCCAAAATAGGGATTTGGTCATTGACAAAAAAAATTGTTTTCTAGATTCTAGGTCTATGCAAAGTTTTAAAACTTGAAGGACAGCTCTGAGCAATATTTTTTCTTTAGGCCTAGTCTAGGTCTAGATCTAAATCGATTTTAAGCTGGTCAGTTTTACTTTTTGAAAAAGACACAAATTGTTAATGCCTATTGGCTTATTGCATTGCCATTGGCCCCTTTCATGGGTATGACTATTGACTTATTGTAGTGTCCACTATTTTTCAACCTAGCCGTAACGTTAGGGATAAAATGTTCAAATCCAATAACAAATGTGTCGATATGTTTTACTTTTGAAAGTTGGATGTAAATCTTTTGGAAAAGTTGGTTTTGGACCTTAATCTTTTCTCATTCACTAGATCTAGATCTAGACTACATGTATGTTATTTATTGGAGATAGAGGTAAATATTTACAAAAGAGATGTGAATTCTGAAGTCAATTATTCTAGATGTAACTTTACTCAAAAGCTAGGTTTTTTTTTTTAATTCCTCTTCTAGTATCTGGGTGGTAGTATTTTGCAGACAAAAGTCCAAAAGTGGATTCACTACATGTAGATCTAGGTTATATTTTGACAGTTGGATAACTATTTTATGTCAGTTTTTGCTAAAATTTGGAATTTGACACCACAATGTTATTATTTACTAATAGAAATCTCTGTGAGAATAATTCCATCATTTAACTCTTTATAATCAAGTATAAGTAGACTGCTATTGCAAGATATCCCAAAAATTCATTTACTTAAAAATTGTGAGGATGCAGAACGTGACAAACTGATGTGAACAGACATTTTCCCCAGTAAATCCCTTCCAGCATACAGTATACATACAGGCGCATCGGAAGGGTCCCAGCTTTTTTCTTTTTTTGGGGGGGGGGGGGAACACCATCGAGTGTAAGCTCTTGAATTTGTCATTAAGAATAAAAAGAAAGAAAACTAATAATGCTTTATTCGACCACGTTATAAATTGTTTCCCATCATTATCTTTCATTATTGGTATTGGACAAGATTACATGTATTCACTGATGGTAGCATCGGATGGCGTGGGAGGTCAGAGACCAGGCAGGGCAATGTTATGAATGACGTAAGAGCAAATTTCCGTGATGGGGCCCATGCCTTTTGCACGAAAACAACTCTTCAGTCTTAAAACTTGTCCTTTTTGAGAGAAATTCTCAAAACTGACAAACTTTGCATTAACTGTAGTCTCTTTGAGGGAGCCTAACTACTGAATAAGAGAACTTTGATTTGTGAATGCTTAAACATTGCATTTTAGAGCATTAAAATGCATATTTTACATGGTTGTAGTGCAATCTTAATTGGGGGGGGGGCAAAAATCGTTGTACTGCAATTGGTCCTTCATGTGTATATATACAGTATCTCATGTCTGATCATCAACATATTTTGCTATTTTGCTATTATTTCACTGTATACATGGCTCTGCTCTGCAGTATAACATCGGCTTGATTAAGCATTACTTTCCTTCTAGACAGCTACGTTCTCAAAACTCTGGCTTACTTGTTACTCCTAGGGTTAAAACAAAGTGGGGGAGCGAACCTTCGCTCATGCTGGACCTTCATTATGGAATACTCTCCCTCAATGGATTAAGAATAGCAGTTCTGCTGAAGTGTTAAAAAACAATCTTAAGAAATATCTGTTTAATTTAGCTTTATAATTGATTACCATAACCTTTCATGTCTGTACCTTTCCTATCGCACTTTTTATAAATGTATCATGTATGTATTTCATCTTTTGCACAAGCTGCGCCTTGAGCATTTGACTATCAAGTGGATTTGGCGCCTTATAAATCATATGTATTATTATTATTATTATTATTATTATTATTATTATATTAATCTGAATATTCTTTCATCTTCTTTACCATGATGAGCAGCTACAGTACATATGATTTTTTGGATTGTTGGTCAGTCCATATACACATTTGTAGATTGCTAAGACATCTCAAAAAGAGTAGACCTACTCCAGACTTGAACAATTTACCATATAGCATTCAGAGAGTAGATTGTAGGATGTAATAAAACAAACACTACTTTTGAGAGAGTGTTGGTCCTATTTATTTTGTCAATGACATTTATTTTTTCTTATGAATAATTTCAATAGCATAGTTGACTAATACTAGAAATTTTCATTATTTTGTTCTGTTCTTTGCTTTTCAATCAACAGGATCAACAACTGGATTTGGAACCTGTTGAGGATCAGGAAACTTTTGAAATTCAGGTTGAATCATTAATGCAAGCACTCTTAATTATCATCGTGGGATACAAGGAGGACATACTAGCCTTGAATGATGTTATAACAATGATTGTAGACCTCTTATACCAACAAGAATCCTGAAGGAGTAGGTAAAATTTCTTTGCTTTATAACAGGAACTGATTATTTTTTGATAAACGGGGGGGGGGGGGGGGGGGGGATAAAAATGAGATTTAGAGTAGCTCATTATACACGTTGTGTAAGCCTACAATCTAGTTGAGAAATATCAATCTTTCTTCACCTCAGAGGTGATTCTGGGGTGGTTTGGTCAGAAACTGAAACATTGTGAATATTAATGATTTTGTACCTTTATGATCTCCAATTCTTTTGTTGTAGGGGGGGGGGGTTCATAGAAAAGCTTTTCATAAAGACTTAAAGACTTAGAACAGAAGGATAGATTAACCATCAAACTCAGGACATGTATGAATCTCGCAGAGCCAATGAACTAATAAGATTTTAGGAACCTGAGAACTAAGATCAAAGGGTCAAACATGTATTTGAAAAATTGCTTCTGTTTTTGTTTGTAAATTTGCTCTATGGTGGTGGCATTTTTTTAACTGTGCAGTCTTGTTGATATAGACGTTGGACGATGGACATAATGAAGAAAAAAAGGTTTCTTTTTAACGTCCAAGAAAAACGTTTTTGAAATATTTTCACAAAAAAGTCCCCAAAATCTAGATGAAATTTTTTTAGAATGTTTTAAAATGTCCGTGTGTTATAAATGTGGTAGATAAATGAAATACTGTGCTTGACTGTACCTTTTGCTTTTTTTCAGTAATGGCAGGAAGAGTTACAAGATCAAAAGGAAGAAAGTGTACACCAGGAAATTATGAGAAGTACCTGGGGAACAAATATGAAGACCCAGAAGGATTTGAACCAAAGTTTCTCAACTCTGAAGTTGGTATGTATTTATAGATTTTCGGTCAATACTATACTTAGAAATGAAGAACACCATTTTCCTGTGTCATATTCTCTTGATATATTATTAATTATTCTTCATGGATAGATACTTTGCTTTCTATTTTTTCTTCTTCCAAATTTACCATTCTTCAGTTTCTATAGTTCAGGCTACTGCGATGAGGCATCATCAGTGTTGTCTTTCCACCTAGACTCTACATGTACATTTATATTGTACATTAGATCTTGGTTCAAACCAATTCAGACAGAGTAAACCCCAAAAGTATTTGTATTAGTGTTCCCATGACAGTATGTAAATTTGGAGCTGAAAAGGGGAATTGTCTGTATATTAATATTTAGCTAAATGTGGGGATTATTACTACCATGGTGAGAAAGCATTTCCATACATTGCATTTCCTAACTTTGGGAAAATCAAAATCTTGGGTTGAATGAATAGATTTTGATTTAAAGTGTAACATGATGCTACATAAATTAACCTTTAAATTAAATTTAAATTTTAAATTTTTCCCCACAACCTTCTTTTTTTTAATTTTAGAATGTAAGAATCTTATAGGTACATTATTACCTCACTTCTGTTTAATTTCTTGCAATATTAAATGTTGCTGCCCTATTCAGGACATGGATTATTTGCTGTTAAAGACTTCCCGAAAGGTGCATTTCTACTGGAGTACAAGGGAGAGACTATAAGTGAGCAAGAAGCTGGGAGGAGGGAATATACAAGTCACCACAGCTACCAATTTTTCTTCCAGCATGAGGGTAAAACAATGTGGTAAGAATAATATCTGTTACAAAATGTTCTTGTCCATGTAACATAGCAAAAACCCTTCTTTCGAAACTACACTCTCACAGTATTTCCGGAATGGCCCTTATGGATGGTCATCAAAGTGCTTGTAAAATTTTTAGAAAACTTCATTGTCTGCTCCGTTCATATGATACCTCAATCAAGAAAAATGAGCCAGGAATAACAAAGTTCTGTTTGTTTAAAGTAGCCCTTTCATTTTCATAATTTTAACAAACGAATTCGTTTTCACTGGGTGCCTGCCGTAGCAAAAAGCAGATTTGACAAAAGACTTAACTCCGTTTCGTTGACAATCAGCCATGCATAAAGACTCTCGTCTACGGCTGATTGTCAACGAAGCGGAGTTAAGTCTTTTGTTAATTTCGTTTATTGATACGGCAGGCAGCCAGTGAAAACGAATTTGTTTAATAAAATTATGGAAATGCAAGCACTACTTTAAACAAACAGAACTTTGTCATTCCTCGCTCATTTTTCCTGATTGAGGTGTCATATGAAAGGGCAGAAACTCAGATACCGCCCGCCAAATGTCTTTTTGGTTTCCTTCCTTCAAATTGCTTTTAATCACTCACACGTGAAATATGCATTATCTGAGTAGCATCACATGAAAGAGGAGACTCTAAGCTTTCCAAATATGTATCATTCATTAATTATAGTTGTGATTAAGTTATGATAGAACATCGATACTTCTCGGTTTCGTTTTTTCTGGGATGCACTGTATATAAAACATACTTGCATTCCAAAATTGTTTACTATTCAGTGTACTTATCGACGGGTTATAATACAATAATTGCATGTAATAGTATAACTATGGAATGTGTTTGTTGATAAAAAACAACACAACACAAAAGTACCCCCCCCCCCAGTTCAAACTAGATTAATTTTGTATAAACAAGCCCTTTTTGGTGTTGTTTACATGTAAGCGCTGTTGATGTTTATCATGGTTGAGTGAGCACGTTTTTAACTGCATGTACTGTATGAAGCATGAAATGCTAAAAATGTACTATTTAAATAATGCTCGAAAAACGACTACCCGGTATTTTCACATGTGATATGCTGACTCGTGTTGGTTGATGCCAATTCTTTCCATAAACTGAATAGATTGTGTAGATTAAAGAAAGCTGAACATTACTTTTTTCCCCAAAAAAATGGTGTCAGCCAACCGTGATAAAATAAGTGTCGGGGATACATGTAGGCGTGACGCGGTCAAACAATGGAAGAAAGCAACTTCGCCAAAGTTTGGTTTCACAGACACCCCCCCCCCCCCAAAAAAAAAAAAAAATTAAATTGACTATTGTGACTTTTGAAAAGTGACATTTTTGCCTTAACCAGTAATAATTTTAATTGTTTTTGCTCAACAAATTTTGTTAAAAATTTATGCTTTTTTGGTAAGGGGGAGTTTTTTGTTGTGTTAAAAGATATATATCGATAATGATATGAAATGATTCAATTTGGAAAGCAGTATGTCATCCTAGAACTTGGGGCCAAGTATCAAACCATCAATCATTTTAGCAAATCAGGATTGTTCCGATCCGATATCAATTTGACCACACAGACATGTAGTAAGGTCTACAAAAGAAAAGAAAATCAGAATCACTCAACAAATAAAGAGGGATTTGTGATTTGCCTTAAATACCATTGTAATTGTTGACAGTCTGTCGGAACACCAAGTGTGAAATTATTCTCTTAAACAGAGAGCAGAATACTAAAGAAAGTAAGATTATTCCTGATGACAAGCAAAGAAATTACATGTAGCAACAAAATGTATAAATAAATAAATAAATGACCAATAGATGCATGGGAGAGAAAAAGAGCTAGAGATATTTAGACCTAAATTACTTTGTAGAGATACACTGTAATGTTGCATGGATGACCTCCAACTCATGATCATGATCATACTAAAATTAAAGAAAAAAGCAACATGCACAGGATGCAAGTTGTGTGTAAAGCCTAGAGGGAAATGAAGCCAGACTGGAGACCGTCCCCTTTTGCAATAAATATGCTAATCAATACACAAAAGTGGCAAACTCATGTTCAAATAAGCTTAGATTACTAATGCAGCAAGGATGGACTGGGGACCGTCCCCTTTTGCAGTAACTATGCTAGTGAATACACAAAAGCTGCAAACCCATGTTCAAATTGTGTATAAGTTAAAGAGTGCTATTAATGTACCTGAATGGGGACCGTCCCCTTTTGCAGTAACTATGCTGAATACAAAAATGCGTCCAAACTCATGTTCAAATTGTGTATAAGTTAAAGAGTGCAATTAATGTAACCTGACTGGGGACCGTCCCCTTTTGCAGTAACTATGCTAGTGAATACACAAAAGTGGCAAACTCATGTTCAAATAAGCTTATAGGTCACAATGCAGCGAAGATCGACTGGGGACCGTCCCCTTTTGCAGTAACTATGCTAGTGAATACACAAAAGCGGCAAACTCATGTTCAAATTGTGTATAAGTTAAAGAATGCTATTATATGTAACCTGACTGGGGACCGGCCGTCCCCTTTTGCAGTAACTATATGCTAGTGAATACACAAAAGCGGCAAACTCATGTTCAAATAAGCTTCGATCACAATGCAGCAAAGATGGACTGGGGACCGTCCCCTTTTGCAGTAGCTAGTGAATACACAAAAGCGGCCAACTTATGTTCAAATTGTGTATAAGTTAAAGAGTGCAATTAATGTAACCTGAATGGGGACCGTCCCCTTTTGCAGTAACTATGCTAGTGAATACACAAAAGTGGCAAACTCATGTTCAAATAAGCTTAGGTCGCAGCAAAGATGGACTGGGGACCGTCCCCTTTTGCAGTAACTATGCTAGTGAATACACAAAAGCGGCAAACTCATGTTCAAATTGTGTATAAGTTAAAGAGTGCAATTAATGTAACCTGACTGGGGACCGTCCCCTTTTGCAGTAACTATGCTAGTGAATACACAAAAGCGGCAATCTCATGTTCAAATAAGCTTAGCTCACAATGCAGCAAAGATGGACTGGGGACCGTCCCCTTTTGCAGTAACTATGCTAGTGAATACACAAAAGCGCCAAACTCATGTTCAAATTGTGTAAGCTTGAAGGGCAATAGTGTAGCTTAAAGTGCAATAACCTGACTGGGGATCGACCGTCCCCATTTGCAGTAAAGTAACTATGCTAGTGCATGAATACACAAAAGCGGCAAACTCATGTTAAAATTGTGTATATATAAGCTTAAAGTGCAATAACCAGACTGGGGACCGTCCCCTTTTGTAGTAATATGCTAGTGAATACACAAAAGCAGCATACTCATGTTCAAATAGTATAAGCTTAGAGCACAATGTAACCTGACCATAGGGACCGTCCCCTCAGTGGAGCTGACATGTGTAATATGTACTGGCGTATCATTTAATAAATAAACTATTATTTTTTTAAATTTCAATATTTGCAGTGTACGTAGGATAAGAGGTAAACAATGACCAAAAACGTATATAACTAAAAATACATTTACCTAATACTTCCTACATTTTTGATGGGGGGCCGGGGGGGGGGGGGGGCAGCAAGGAAACTAGATTTTGGTGTTATCTAGGTTACATTTTTTTTTTGTGTTCCCCACAGCTCTACCTATATGAGTGATGAGACTGAGAGTGATGATACCCCCCTAGCACCTCCACCAACTCCTGTGTCTTCTCATTTTCCACCATCTACATGTGACAATTCATCTTGCCCTTCTTTATCATCTCATCCATCATCAATTTCTCTTCATCAACATTCATTATCACTCGTTTCAGCTCCTAGTCTGTCTCATGCACCCTCTGTTCCATCACCTTTACCACAGCCCTCTCATTCTGCTATCTCTGTCCAGGCATCTCATACACATGTAGATGTTTTTTATTTGTTCTGTGCAGTTTTAATGTTTTTAATTGTCTTTACTGTCATCATTCTTTTTGTATTATTTTGTCATTTGTACTTGTAAATTTTTTCATTGTGTCCTGTTCTACAAATACCTATCTTCTTTTCCCTACATTTCCTGCTGTCTTGTAATGGTAAGCATTTAAATTCAAAAGATATTCTGTTGCCTTATACTTATAGTTTCATAGTTCATTGTAGAATTTGTAGAATTGTACTGACTCTTTGACCCCCTATTGGGTATGAGAGTACAAACGAACATAAACGGAATGTAATAATCTGACAACTGATACTTGTGCTGTCTGACCATGATCGATGTAGCTATTGTCAATATATTGAATAATAGAATACATAGAATTTTGGAAGTTGTTATCCGAGGCATAAAGAAGCACAATAATTTGGCCAGTCTGACACTCTAAATGAGGGTTTTTTTTAATCCTTTTTAAAAAAAAATACAAATGTTGATAACTACATGTATTTAATCTCTTTGGTGTTCATGGCTGTTGTATGATAGAAAGAGCTCTGTATTTATTCTGAGAGATATATTGCTCTAATACTGTAATTCACATGTCACCACAAAAGTTGATACATGCATGCACTAGATTCCCCATTCTTCTGTGCAGTAGACATACATGTAGCTCGTTGCTTTTCTGGTGGCGGCGGTGGCAGTGTCAACATCACAAACTTTACCCAAAGTTAGTTTTGGAATTTTTGATATAATTTTGAAAGTATAAGTCCTTATTCAATTAAACTTACATGTAGACTAAAGAATTTTGAAGTATCCCCAATCATGTGAGTAGAATTTCAGGTCGCAAAGTTAAAGTCAATCAAGGTCATTTCAGGTCAACAAACTTAGACTATGTTGTGGCATCAACATCAAAACTTACCAAAGGTTAAGATTTTGAATTTTTATCAACATTTTGAAAGTATACATTCCTGTTCCATAAAACTTGAACATAAGGGTAATCATGCAAGTATCACCAAACATGTGATTAGTTTTTAGGTGACAAAGTCAAGGTCAAATGTAATTTCAGGTCTGCAAACTTAAACTTTCTTGTTGCATGAATTAACATCAAGATTTTGAATTTTTAGCATAATTTCTAAAGTACCGTGTCAAATTCCATGAAACGAACCCAAGGGTTATCAAGTACCACAATCATATGACACAAATTACAGGTCACAAATTCAAGGTGAAAGGTCATTTTAGGTCAGTAGACTTTAATTGTGTTTTCACTACTTAATATGAGAATTAATAAATCAATTTGTATTATTTGTTCATATTTCATGAAAGTTATCAATCTTGGTAGAAATACATGTAAAAGTAAATAATTATTCTGATGATTTTTATTCAACGCTTAAAGTGCATTGTAACCTGACTGGGGACCATCCCCTTTTGCAGTAATATGCTAGTGAATACACAAAAGCGGCAAACTCATGTTCAAATTGTGTATAAAGCTTAGAGCACAATGTACCTAGACTGGGGACTGTTCCCTTTTGCAGTAACTTTGCTAGTGAATACACAAAAGTGGCAAACTCATGTTCAATTAAGTTGTGTATAAAGCTTAGAGCACAATGTACCTAGACTGGGGATCGTCCCCCTTTGCAGTAATGATGCTAAAGATTACACAAAAGCTGCAAAGAGTATGCTAGACTGGGGATCGTCCCCTAGTTGCAGTAACTATGCTAATGAATACACAAAAGCGGCAAACTTATGTTCAAATTGTGTAGAAAGCTTCAGGCATGACAATTTTTTGCGTATTCACGGGTTTCTACTTTTTCCCGGATTTTGGATTTTCTTTTCCGCTGATAGAAGCAAAAGGCGGAAAAAAATCTGTGGAAATTAGCCATTTCCTTTTTTTTTTTGTGTGTGTGTCTTAGCGACAGAGCGACAGATTGATATTGGTCACTCTGACTAATCGCTATGAAGTGAAACATAAGAAGAATAAGAAGAAACCACGCAAAAAACACTATGGACAAAAATATATAAAAATTACATCAATATATTAGAAACCACACTTACAATACATTATAATTGTACACGATGGAAACACAAGTGGGTAGGAGTGGCGGTGGTAAATGACAAAGAATTATATATACTGATATGTATAATATCTCTAATAATGATCGCTTATGATGTTTAAGTCAAACAATCGCCCCCAATCTTCCAAGTTGACAGTCTATACAGTTCATTGTTCCTGAATTCTACTGGTTTGACCTCAGCAGAGTTGACTACATTATTTTTCAAGAAAATCATGCAAATGAAAATGCTGGAATTTGAATTACAATATACAGATACTTTGATAAGGTTTAAGTGATTTGAGTGTTTTGTGCATTGCATGTACCTCTTGGAATGAATTAAGTGTGTATTTTTTCTTTCTTTTTTCCTATTTTCTTTTCAGCATTGATGCATCTGACACCAACCATTTAGCTCGTCTTGTGAATGATAGTGCTCCATCAAAACGCTCTTGCAATGCAAGGATGAGAAAGATCATTAGCTGTTCTGGAACACTACATTTGTGTTTATTCTCTCTACGTGATATTGAGCAAGGAGAAGAGATTCGATACGACTATGCTGCGAAAGGTCTCTCATGGAGAAAAAAAGAAAAACTATATAACAAGATAGCATTGAGTGTAGATTCCAGGAATGAAGATGATGGGAACTATGAAACTGTACTGGATTCTGAAGACGATGGTGGCTTAAATTCAGGGTTATCAAATTTCAAGAGATTACAGCATATAAATGAAGCCATTATTGAATGCTGTAATGGTAAGAATGACAAAGGGAAGGCATGTATCAAAGAATCTGGATATAAATGCAGAGATGAGAATGAACAGGGTGGTTCAGCAGCATCTAGAGGCAGAAATGAAGATGAACCAGGCATTTTGACACCATTGGAGGATGTTATTCACACAGATCCTGAATTTGCACCAGATTCAGGAGATCGAGATAAACAAGATCCTGATGTTGCACCAGATTCAGGAGATAGAGATAAACAGAATCCTGATGTTGCACCAGATTCAGGAGATAGAGATAAACAGAATCCTGATGTTGCACCAGATTCAGGAGATAGTGGTAAACAGGATTCTGATGTTGCACCAGATTCAGGAGATAGAGATAAACAGGATCCTGATGTTGCACCAGATTCAGGAGATAGAGATAAACAGAATCCTGATGTTACACCAGATTCAGGAGATAGAGATAAACAGAATCCTGATGTTGCACCAGATTCAAGAGATAGAGATAAACAGGATCCTGATGTTGCACCAGATTCAGGAGATAGAGATAAACAGGATCCTGATGTTACACCAGATTCAGGAGATAGAGATAAACAGAATCCTGATGTTGCACCAGATTCAAGAGATAGAGATAAACAGGATCCTGATGTTGCACCAGATTCAGGAGATAGAGATAAACAGAATCCTGATGTTGCACCAGATTCAAGAGATAGAGATAAACAGGATCCTGATGTTGCACCAGATTCAGGAGATAGAGATAAACAGGATCCTGATGTTGCACCAGATTCAGGAGATAGAGATAAACAGAATCCTGATGTTGCACCAAATTCAAGATATAGAGATAAACAGACCCCTGACTGTACACTAGATTCAGCAGATGAAGATAAACAGACTCCTGATGTTGCACCAGATCCAGCAGATGATGACAATGATGATGACTTTGCACCAGATTCAGCAGATGATGACAATGATGACTTTGCCCCAGATCCAGTAGATGATGATGATAAAGATTCTGACTTTGCACCAGATTCAGCAGATGAAGATGACAGTGATAGTACTGACTTTGCACCAGATTCAGCAGACGATTGGGACAATGATACTGACTTTGCACCAGATCCAGTAGATGGAGATAAACAGGATCCTGACCTTACACAAGATTCAAGAGATGCAGGGCATTCTGTCACTGTGATAAACACGCAAGATCCATCTACTGTAGATGAGCAGCCAACAGTTATGTGCACAGACAATACAAATGGAAGAAAATACAACAAAGGGACATATTGCCCATTTTGCCAACGGTATGTTATGAAATTTCCAAGACATTTAAGGGAGTTTAAGGCACATAAAAATGAACCCCAAGTTGTTGAATGGTTAGCAACACAAGACAACAAGTTGTTAACAAAGATGCGAAACTATGGCAACTTCCTTCACAATGCAGAGGTGCTAAAAAACAAGGAAGGTGTACTGATACCAGTATACCGACCCAACAAAAAAGATGCTGACTGTGATAAATATGTACCGTGCAATACCTGCTATGGCTTTTTTGCAAAAAGAGACCTGTGGAAGCATAGTTGTGTGTTTGATGAGAAGACAGATGAACCAGTCAGGAAGCGCATGCGAAGAAATCGTGTCAAAGCTGGTAAAATGATGTTACCTTTTGAGGGCTCCGAGGCAGTTCGTGCTATATTTGCTGGATTGAGAGATGATGAGGAAGGTGTTGGAAGCTTCATTAAGAATGACCCTCTCATGAAGAAATTGGCTGACAAGTTTGCTCTCAAGTTGGGACATGATAGTGAGCAGTATAATCACATCCGAAATAAATTGAGAGAGGTTGGAAGAATGGTATTACAATACAGACGAAAAACGAAGAACAGTACTACATCTTTGGCTGATTTAATTGACCCGAGCAAGTTCAGAGATGTGGTGGAGGCTACAAGAACAGTAGCTGGGTTTGACGGGAAGAGGCATTTGTATGTCACTCCAAGTTTAGCACTCAAACTTGGACATACCATGAAGAAGGTCTGTAATATATTGCTAGCAGAAGGTATAATGGCAGGTGATAAGGTCCTTGAGGACAGATGCAATAACTTCTCCAAGCTCCTGGACATGAACTGGCATGAGCAGGTTTCGTCCCATGCCCTACGCACACTTACGCAAAACAAGAGGAACAACCCCCAATTCTTGCCAATAACAACTGACATTCAGACCCTGGCATCATTCCTGAAGAAAGAAATGAAACATGGGAAACAAAATCTACTCAGTGATCCATCGAACATTCAGCAACATTGGAAACATCTGTCTGAAGTTACCCTGACTTTATTGTTGGTATTCAACCGCAAGAGATCAGGGGAGGTTTCTAAGATGAGAGTAGAAGACCTTCATAAATGCAGAAAAGGTTCTGAGGGCCTAACTCTGTTGGAAGGCTTGTCAAAGTGGGAACAAGAACTGTGCAAGATGTTATGGCGCATAGAAATCGTAGGGAAGAAGGGCCGCACTGTTCCTATGTTGCTAACTGAGGTAATGAAGGATAGCTTGGATCTACTCAATCACAACAGAGAGAAAGCTGGGGTTTTGGATGACAACAAATTTGTCTTTGCAATGTTGCATAGCAATGGACACATCAGAGGATGTGATACTCTTCGCAAGCATGCTGATCTTTGTGGAGCAAGTAGACCAGAGTTTCTTAGATCAACAAGACTTCGGAAGCATATAGGAACAGTCTCTCAACTGATGAATCTAGAACGGAATGAGGAAGACATCCTTGCAAAGTTCTTGGGGCATGATATTCATGTTCACAGAGAATACTATCGTCTACCAGACGAGACTTTACAACTGGCCAAGGTTTCAAAGGTTTTGCTGCAGTTAGACAGTGGAGATCTAAGTTGTCTGAGTGGAAAGGGACTTGATGACATCCAGTTGGATAAAGGGGAAGGTATGTTTATATGTATATTGTACCTTCAAGTTGATCTACAACTACTAGATTATTTCACAAAACAGTGGCATCTTTCATATTAAACTTCTTCTCTCAGTAAGCCTTTGAAGCTATAAAAGGACAAATACAATTCTAAGCAATATCTGTGTGGTGGGACAAATCTGTTTTCCTCCTAAGCCATTATACTGTATCCTTTTTTATAAATGTTTTTGCAATATTACTATATCTAGAATGCTACAGATTTGATAAAATACTTGAACAGAATTATTAAACATCTCTGGCAAATTTATATTGCAGCACATACATAAAAAAAAAAAATATATATATATATATACAATGTACACTCAACAACAATAAACACTTTTTAAAGTTCAGTTTTGTCATAGTAGACTTTCATAAAACTCAATATATTGTACGTCAAATTAAAGGAAATTAATGCTCTTTTCACCTTGTAGGTGAACACATAAAGAAACTTTATGCATGGGTGAACACATTTGTTTTTCTCTTCCAAGGTGCAAAAGCAAAAATTTACAGTTTGCCGTTCATATGTATATGCCTTTCCACATAATAATGGGAACAGAAGATGAAACATACTCGATGAAAGACTCATTTATTGCATAATTGAGCCATAGCTCTCTATATCTCTTTCCAGCCCCCCCCCCCCCCCCCAAAAAAAAAAGTGAAAGAAAACGAAAGAGAAGAAGCTTCTGTTGATAAAGTCCAAATTCTAATTAACTTTGCATTAGCCACAAGGATAATTACATGCCCCAAAATTGATTTTCTAACTTCTTGGTCAAATGGAATGATTATTCAGTGATGTAGCTTGTGGGATTATAAAATACAGTGCATTACCAGGGAACACCACTGTTATGTTCAAAAGCATACCCCCACAATGCATTGTCCTAATTCCCCCATGCTGTGCCACTTTGATTATTTCTAATTGGTAAATTTTAGATTTAAAGATTGATTTTCTTTTCAAGTGGGAGGAACCATGCAAAATTCCATCATGCTTTTTAAAAAACGTTTTTGTTGTAATTTTTAGTGCAATATGACGATGCATATCAAGTTGATTGACTTCACAAAAAATTGTTGCATTTTTAAAACTTACTTTTTGGAACAGATAACTGAATGTGTGAGGCATCAATATTTATTTCATCCATCTTTTTGTTGGTCTTTTTCATGCATCATCATCACCCTTACAGAGGTAATTTTGGAAGACCCTCTTGAGCCAAATGATGACAATGAGAATATTGCGGATGTCAGTGGTAAGTTCAGTTTGTGTTATGTACACCCAAAACCAATAACAAATGGGGGACAGCTGGCTTTTGCTAACGTTGCACGCAAATTATGGTAAACTTTACCATTAGAAATGAGACAATCATCATCAATTGAAATATTTAAGAAGAAACTTAAGCACCATTTGTTTATGTTGTAGTTATTAATATTGTATAATTATGTAGATATATTACAAGAGCGCCTTGAGCAGTCTTTTATAATGGATATGTGTTCTTTACAAGTTGACATTATTATTATTATTATTTGAGGGATCTGAATGTCTTCAACAGTACAAGAGGATGGAGAGTTAATTTGAAACAGTTCAAGATTCTGAAAAATTTAGATTCCATAAATAACTCAACAAAGAAGCACTGTTAAGCATAACAAAAATTCAGTAGACATTCAAAATGCTGTTGTAAAAATCTAAAGCTTAATTGTTTAAAATCTTTTCTTGAGAAATGGTTGCATTGCAAAGAGGGGGAAACATGTTCATTCCTATTCTGATCTTCACACATATGCTATATTCTTTAGTGCCCTTATATATTATACAAATATTAAATGTTTATGAGTGCTATGGTTCCAAATATTACATGATGGTGCAAGTTGAATAGGATAGTGGATAGTTACGTTTGTGAGGTGTGTACTTAATGTTGATTCGTGTGGCATTAACTCATTATTAGATCACAGTGCATTAATGTCCATATAGGCTGGCTGGACTCATTCCTGCTAGTAGAAAGAATAATTCATTTCTCTGTTGGCCTGTGTACGAAAGGGGGGGGGGGGTTATGTCTCATTGAGACCTATATTAATAGCAAGCACGAACACAACAACAGATAAAAGGTACTTTTTCATCATTAGGGGCGTAACCCGGGTTTCGCATTTAGGGTATCAAAAACAGCAAAATTAAGAAAAAAGGTTGTCAAATTAAGAGCTGATGAGAAGGACAGATCCGCAAAAAGGGTAGGAAATTGGATTCCCAATAGTTTAGGAACTGTTAAAATAGGTTGCAAAATACCAAAATGAGGACCTTTGATCCCTTTTTAGGGGTGCTTTTCAGAAGAGATTTTACAGATACTATACAGGTTTCTATATATAAAAAAAAAATATATATATATATATATATATATGAAATTGACTTGAGTACATAGAGAACAATTAAACAAGTAAAACTAAAAAAAATCTTCAAAATCAGATGAATAATGACAAAGTTAGAGCATCTTGAAACTTTTAATTGTAACATGAAACAGTGATATGCATAAAACAATTATTGACAAGATTTTTACTGTATTTTTTAATTTTACTGTCTATTCAACATTTATTCTTATATTTTAGGTTGTTCCCCTACAACATCATCTGAGGAAAAGGTCATCGAGTACACACAGGACCTACAGAAGACAAGACGCAAATTACAGAAGAGAGGTAAAAAGAAGAGGAAATTGATGAATGCTGAAAGAAATGGCAGTATGCTTTTTGAGGTTATGAATGATGAAGGTGGCGTTTGTTGGAAGAAAAAAATATTCAGAAATGTGTAAAAAATCAAATAAATAAACATCAACTTTTGTACTTTGATACGCAACAGTGTACAATCTGGCTGGGGAAGTCCCCTGTTGCTTGTGACGGTACATACAGTATGGATAGGGTGTATACCTTTACACACACTCCTCTTTATCAGACTGGGGACCGTCCCCTGTTGCATGAAGACCTACATAAAATATGTCGTTATCGGATAGCATATCACATCAATCTGTTCAATTACACTGGGGACCGTTCCCTGTTGCATGTACACTTATATGTGAAAAGTATGTTACATGATGGTCATATCTGTTCCATGGACATCCACTTGGGACTGTCCCCTGTTGCACAAATATGAAGAATGTGTTATCCGGCACCTCAATCCCCTCAATCAGACTGGGGACAGTTCCCTTTTGCATGTACAGGTAACTCTGCCTTAGTCAAATCTCTTGGGACCACAGAAATCTGTTTGACTGAGGAGAAATTTGACTTATGAGAGAGGTAAATAACACATGTCTTGTATAATCTGATCTAAAAAATTGCTTTGACTTAGGTGATTATTCGGCTTAGGCAGAGTTTACTGTAAACAAAATTGTGACATCGGATAGCTTAAAAAAAGACATAAATCTGCACAACTAATAATAATAATAATATTTAATTTTTATTATACTATTTACAACTAGACTAGGGACTGTCTCATGTAGTTGCATGTACATGGAATGTGTGTTACCTGATACTTATTTTTGCTCAGTCAGAGTGGGACGGTCCCTTTTCGCATATATACATTGATATTTTTTGATACCTTTGCCCCATCATTAATCTGCTCAATCAGACTGGAGACTGTCCTCTGTTGCATGTACATAAATATTATGTGTCACCTGATACCTTTACACATTGGTCTCCTGAATCAGACTGGGGACCATCCCCTGTAGCATGTATATGAAATGTGTGTCATCTGAAAGTATAAGACGTCAGTCTGCTCAATTAGAATGGGGACCATCCCCTGTTGCATCACAATATTACATTTCAGTAAGAATATTGTATTGGATTATAAGCAGCATGAACAGTAATGAAAAAGAAATAATAATCTCCAGGCACAACATACTGCCTTGCCATTGTCCTGTATGGTAATTGGACCGCTTTGCTTGCCCAGCTTACATACAGTTAAACTTTTTCTGTGTTATGGATTTAGTCTTGTGCCGTAATATCACTATATCACTTGGTCCAAGATAATTGAGTGGAAAGCTTACAAAATAACCTAGATGGGCATGAAAAGGTATGCTTAAATATGAACAGTTTGATTTAACATGGATCAGTTAGTTACAACCTATCAGATCAAATCCACATGTTAAGATAATAGAATATTTTTACAATTACAAAGCAATTTCTTTTGAGAGAACATAACATTACTGGAATCCTCATATTATAGGAAAATTTTGCTGTTCAGAAATTCCCGAACAATTGCAGTAAAACGTATAACCTTTACAATTTGCTGCAAAAAGCAGCAAATTTGCCCTCCAAGTACAATGTTGTACATAGGGAACCCATGGTTGCATAATGAGTTATCAGAGTCCACACTGGTATCATAGTGATTTGAATAAGTACAGCACAATTAAACAAGCAAAACAGTGAAAATTTCATTAAAATCAGATGAAAAGTGACAAAGTTAGAGCATCTTGAAACTTTTAATTGTTACATGAAACAGTGATATGCATAAAACAGGCTGTATTAGTGAGCCAATGTTACATTACGCATATCACTGTTTCACAAAATAATACAAAAATTCAAAATGCAATAACTTTGATAATTTTCACCCAATATTGACAAGATGTTTACTGTATTTTTTAATTTTACTGTTTATTCAACATTTATTCTTATTTTTAGGTTGTTCCCCTACAACATCAGCTGAGGAAAAGGTCATCGAGTACACACAGGACCTACAGAAGACAAGACGCAAATTACAGAAGAGAGGTAAAAAGAAGAGGAAATTGATGAATGCTGAAAGAAATGGCAATACCGATATGCTTTTTGAGATTATGAATGACAGAGGGGTGTTATAAGATCAAAGTGCTTTTTAAATGATAAACCCTATTGAGTATAAAAGGGACAATCAAAAGACCAAAATAATAACTTGTGATTTAAATCTGCTACATACATGTATGTGCCCTGTAAAAAAAATACAATCAATCTTTTATGTTCCAGGCACAGAATGTAATTAGAATTGACTAATTCTAACCTTTTGAAAGATTTGATGGCATTCCTTTGTTAATTTTAAAATGAACTTACCATACCTTTATTTTGTTCATTTTTTTTTAGCAGGCCCCAAGAGAGTGAAAGCAGTACCTGAAAAGTTGAGTACCGGTAAGAGGAATCAGATCAAGCGACCCTGGACTCCTGACGAAAAAGCTGCTGTCCATGAAACCTTTCACCGTGAGATTTTCCAAAACAGACTTCCAGGTAAAGGTGTGATTCAGCAATGTCTTAACAAAAAGGCAGTTCTTCACAAGCGTACTTGGACGCAAGTTAAAGACTTTATTAGAAATTATCTAAAATACAAGGGGAATAAAGGATTTCTGTAAAAGGATTTCTGTAAAAGGATTTCTCCTGTGGTGCATTTGTGACTTGCTTTTAATTTTGAGGTGTTGGGTCATGTACAATTATAGATTCTCCCTGTATCCTCTCTGCACCAATACTGGATGTCCCAGTCTTCTCTACTTTTTTTATTCTTTAATTTCTTTAATGTGAGATATGAGATGATTGCTCTTGCTAAGCAAACCCAACCAGGCCAAAAATAGTATAGTTTGATCAGTCTCCATCAAGTTCATAGATTGGCAGTGGGAACCTAGCTAGCCTAAGGCTGCTAGTGAGGCGGGGACGACCGTATGTCACTAGCATAGTGTTAGTATTGCTAGGAGACCTGTTTTTGTCAAAAGACCTATCTCATACATTTACACATCTTCTGTCGCATTATATTCCACTAGTAGGAAATATCATCTTAATGCTTGAACTATTATATGGGTATTGATAATACAGTATATAAATCTTTTACCATGATCAAAGACATTAATAATCCAAGTGTTGAGAATTATTTCCAACTATAAATATATATGATAAAATTGTTCTGTACTATTTACCATTTTATTATTTAAGAACCATGTAAATGGAGTCAATATAAATTATATTGATTAAGGTTCATTTAAGAATGAAACATTTTGGTTATTTTTGGTTCAGTTTACCTATGCAAAAAGCGATGACATGCTATTAACCTTAGAAGAGAAAGAAATGGATTTTATAACACATGTAATTTTACCTCATTGTCCTGATTACCTCCTGCCATAAATGTTAATCACTGTTATAGATATTTCTTGCTTGCATTATGAGCAATTGTTTTGGAGAAATTATTTGGATGTTCTGGGATATTCCTTACTGTATCACCATAATTAATTTCCATAATCAATTTCCAATCATTCATATATGTATTACTGTACTCTGGTATCTAGCTGTGTTTCATTTGTCACATTATCAAGCTCTATTTGGAGTGGGGATTCCTAGTGTGTTCTACAGTGTATAAGTTTCTTACTCTTAGCTACATTAACATAAACCAGTTTTTTACCATGATGTATTTTGCAGTAAACTAATGTAAAGGGTCTCCTGCACCAGAGGCAAGTGAGCTATGCTCCCCATTTTGCACCCCCCGTCATCTGTTTTCATGTTTGTCTTCTTTATGGAAACACATTCTTTCATTTTGACTTATTATTATTTTTTTTATTTTTTTTTTTTTTTTATTTTTTATTTTTTATTTTTTATTTTTTATTTTTTTTTTGGGGGGGGACTTAGTTTTTTAACAATGGCATCCTGGCCAGCAAGTAGCTATTAATAAAGACCCCTTTACAAGTAGTAAAGGTATTTTTCACAATTTTTCTTCACATCTAGGAATTATAGAACAAAGTTAACCCTAACTAGGCCTGGGGGAGTGGGGTGGGGTGGGGCTGTTTCCCACCAGCCCCTGCAGACAAAGTCTAGAGAGGGCATTAAGCGTTGCACCTGTCTGTCTCTTCATCCCCAAATTGGTTTCTGAGCGATAACTTGTTCAATATTTGACAGATTCTAATAATTTTGGTGTGTAGGTAGATCACAATAAAAGACAGGTCAAATTTGAATTCGGAGTCCACAGGTCACAAGTCAAAGGTCACAACTCATAAATTTTTATGCAAATTGGTTTCCGTGCGATAACTTGAAAAATATTGCACGGGTTTTAATGATTTTGGGTGTAAAGGTAGGTGTCAAATTCGAATTTCGAGTCTGCAGGTCAAAGGTCACACTTCATTATATGCAAATTAGTCAAAAATGTGTTTCCCCTCCATATAACTTCAGAAATGTTTGATGGATTTTAATTTGTTGGTATGTCACTAGTTGATTTATTGGTTTTGTAATACATAAATGTGCATCTGAATTTGATTCAGTTTAAAAAAAATGCAGGATCGAGAATGAAATCAACATCTCTTTTTCAGACCAAAAAACTAATAAATGCTTACTATATAACCACATTAAGTGGGGGCATCTGTTTCCTATGGACACAACACACTTTTTCTAGTTTTAATCTTGCACATCGTTTCAGACCATATTTACTACGTCCAGGCATGCAATTAAGTTTCTCATAAATGTGATTTCATGCGTACTTTCAATGCACAATGTGTTTAGTTGATACCATGATTTTTTTTTAAAGCACATTTGCTAAGAATACTATAAAGAGTATCGTGAACAAAAATTAATGTATTTGGAGTGATATGTTGTGATTTGGAGGCAGCAACTCTGATTTCACGCATAAATTAGCATAATTTTTTTTAATAAAATGATTTCTTTAAGAAGAAAAAATTTATATACATGTAGGGCCTACGATTTTGTAGATTATACAATGCAGGCATCGTCCCTGCTAATATTAGTCTTGATCGTTCGGTCGATGGACGACATCTCACGCGGGCCTCAGAAACCTCCCTCCCCTGCCATAAGGCCAAAATAGCCTGGCCTAATTAGGGTCAACCATGCTTGTACTGTGCTATATTGTTTGAAAATAAAGTAGTTCGTCACATGTGGTGGCCAATGTTGGTCAATAGAGGAATTAATATATAGGGGTTTAGAAATCAAATGGGACTTGTCTTACAGTTTATTTGAAATTACATTTAATTCCAACCAAACTTGTCAGGAATTAATTTAAGGGGTCATTTTTATTCCTTTTAGTAGTTGTCTCAGGGTGGGGCCGGATTTGGAAAAACTGAACAAATCATTTCAACATTTACTAAAAATTATTGAGCCAAAAGAGTGTCCATGAGTGCCTTTGTAGTTGAAAATAAAACTTATTTTGAGAAAATGAAGTTAGTCCCTAGCACAGACCCAGGTTTTGAAATTATGGTATACATATAGAGATTTATAGACATATGAGGAAGATTTTCCCCAATATTTTCCTTATTAAAGTCCTTATATGCTTACAAAAGTTTATCTACAATTTCGTTTTTGGAAGGAGGTTTCTCAGTTTGTTCATAAGGTAACAGAACTGGAAAGAAATTAGTATGTTGTGCTGCTACTCCCACTCCTTGATTGAATGTCTTTGGAGAAATAGCAGTGATTATTATTTTATATAAGAGTAAAGTTGTTTATTATTAAGATTAGATTCTTCTGGTCAGTTTCCCAAAGATGTAGGTGTATGCTCAGACGAGGATCACCTATTGGATCTTTCCATGTTTGCATGAGGTTATTTACTTTACCTTTCAGTGTTTATTTAAATGTTTTATCTCTAAACAGAACTGGGGGTAACACAATACATGCATATTTCATGTTCTGAAATGCAATATTTCACCTAGTTTTCAAGGCAGATCCCACCATGTATAAACATGTTTAACTTTTTAAATGAATGCTTGATGTGATTTCCTGTGAAAAGAAAAAGATGATCATGTTTGACAGTGTTCATAATTTGTTGAGTGTTTTCTGGTCTGTTATTTTTTCATATTCATTTCTTGATTGAAAACATACTTGCTGGACTGGGCAATTGTGTTATTAAATGTTCATAAATCATTATTACATTTACATCTTGCAAGTTGAGTGTCTAGTTATTTATTTCTACTTGTGAGTATCAGTCTGTAATGATTTTAAAACCTTTAGGAAAGTGGAGTAGGAAAGAGGTTATTTCATATTCATAAATAAAATGATTATCTACCAATAAACCTGTTTACTAAGTGATTCAAATTTATGGATTTTTCTTCTCTGGGGATGACATAGTAATGAGGTATTCCATTATTACCCATCATTAATGATTGAAGTGCTATACTTGGAACCCAGTTTGCATGCATTATTACGTGTTGTTAAGTCTGGAAAACTTTCAGGTTGTCAAGAACAACCATATTCAAAAAGTATCCATAACATTTCAAAATGTTAGTAAACAGGCCTATTGCACAAGCTGCCACCTGGCATCTTCAAACTTTAAAACTCCCTTGTTTTCTAAAACAACTCTAAATGTTATGCTAAAGAGAGTCCTGTGCTAATTCAGTGCTTCATGTTATGTGATTGTGGTGATTGCACTGTGCTGGAATGTTGATATCGAGCTGAATGTCCAGTGGTTTTATGTGATTTCTACTATACACAGAATCTTACTAATAGGAAGAGAATTCAATGTACAGATGGTTCAGAAGAACATTCAGGTAATCAAGTCACCATAAGCAGTTTGCTCTGCAAAAACACTGAGTGTGTCTCAAATAGACATGTTTACTAAGTGATTCAAATATGGATTTTTTTTTCTTTACTTGGGATGACCTAGTAACAGGTATTCCATTAATCTGTCATTAATGAATGAACTACAGTACTTGGAATCCAGTTTGTATACGTACTTGTTGCTATGTCTGGCAATCTGTCAGGTTGTCTAGAACAACCTCTTTTCCTTCCAAAAAGTATGCATAAAATTTGAATGTGTTAGTAAACGGGTCTATTAATGATCTATAAGTGTGATTGCAGGTATACATATATATATATATATATATATATATAAGAGTAAAATAATGTGTTGACTTTATTCAAAACAAAAGGTTAATCTAAGACTCAAATGCATGATACCATCAAGTGAACACCCAAGCAAACAAAATGCTTAATTATATACAGCCAGTATAATAAATATTATACCATCTACAAATTGAATTTCCACATCTACGTTCAATAATAATAATCCGTTTTATATAGTGCTTAAATCATCAAATATGTGTCTAAGCTGCAGCACGTGGCAGTTTTTATTCAACCTGTACATTAATGACATAACATCTTAGGATTTGCAATTGATCATTAATCTGATGTAATACAGATAGACTTCTGGGTATTGTGCAGTAGTGGGAATGAGCTGTGCTCTGGAGATTCAACTGAAATGAAAAGTACTGCATGTATACTTTCAAACTAAGGTGGTTTTTAGGGGGGAAAATATTGATAAATGTGTAAAATATAAATGAAATAAACATGAACTTGTTGTTGGTACTTTGATAGCAACAAGTGTACAATCCGGCTGGGGAAGTCCCATGTTGCTTTTACATACAGTATGAGTAGAGTGTACAAGAGGAGTCTCTTAATCAGACTGGGGACCGTCCCCTGTTGCATGTACATCTGTATGTGAAAAGTATGTTACATGATAGTCACATCTGTTTCATTGACATCAACTGGAGACTGTCCTTATTTGTTGCACATCTATGAAGAGTGTGTTACCTGGTACCATACGTGCTTACAGTGCAATTTGGGGACCGGTCT